CATTCTCGTATAGTAATTTCCAGATCTCACAAATCGATTACATTCTCGAATGGTGATTTCTCATTCTCGTATAGTGCCTTTTCATTCTCGAATTATGATTTCTAATTCTCGTATAGTGATTTCCCAACCTCATACATAGATTACTGAAACTCGATAGATGATTTAAAACTCATACCACTTTTGTCATGTTTGGCTTGCCATACAGTAGTGTGAATTGCTACAGTGTTATTTTTCATGTTCGGAGATTTTATCTTTTAGACAGTAATATCTTAGTAATTACAATTTGTAAGTGAAAGTGTTCATGTTTCGTTCTGTTAGTTTTCTTTGAAGCAGCAACTCGCCATTATGGTGAGTCCTTCTAGAAAATAAAATACTTCAAAGTTTGTAACAAAAGTTGTGGTTATTGTAGGGGTTTGTCTTCTTGCCAAATACATTTCAGATCGAAAAAGAGTAAAGAGTTGTATCGGAGGTTTTAGCTCCCCCAAAATTTCACCACGTGAATTTCAAAAGAAACATAATTTGAATCTTTGACCACGTTTACACGCGTGTGGACAAATTTTTGAACGGACAAAAACTTGCAAGAATCCGCCTTCTGTTTACACGGGACCCACGGAACTGTGCTTGTTTTTGAACGACACATATGCAACTAGTATTTTACCTGATTAGAGATCGGTGAAAATTTTTGACCTGTACGGTTCCACCGACGCGGAACCGTGTAAGCAAACGAACCGTGCAAGTTTTTGCATCGTTTGCGCGGTAAAAGCCTCGTGCTTAGTTTACTTGCCTATGATAAGTCGGACTCGTGTAAACTGACGGCTCAGCTTTCTTTAACAGAATTTGAACGGTTTCGTATAAACAGGTTGCACGGGTTAAAAATTCGTCCATTCAAAAATTTTCTTGGACCCGTGTAAACAGGGTCTTCGATGGAAACATTAATATTCTCTCAAAGTAAAAACTTACTGAGCCCGAAAACCTTTCTGGAGTTTCGATTCTTAAAGTCTCGATTATTTTTCCTTCGGTAGATTTTTTTAAAGCCATTGTTACAAACAAGAATTTTAGGCCCGGTTCAGACGCCGAACTTTTCATGAGCCGAACCTAATACATTGAATTGAGCACATGAAAAGTTCGGCGTCTGAATCAATTATTAGGAACGCTTGTTTCAATTTGGAACGGCTCAGCCGTTCTTCCCGCCTAGCCGGGCCGAGAATTTCTACTGTGGATCGACTTTAGAACGGCTTTGATTCAGACGCCGAACTTTTCATGTACCAAACCTAATGCTTAAATTGTAACGTATTTTGCAAGCAGTTTGACTCCGAAATGAGCGTTTTTCTCCTTTTGAATTTAATTCGGCTGGAATTAAGATCGGCGTCTGAATCAATCCAAGCGGTCTAAATAATTTGAGTCGGCCTTAATTCGAATTAGGTTCGGCTCATGAAAAGTTCGGCGTCTGAACCGGGCCTTAGTGCCCCGCTCGACCATTTAACAACAAATATATTCGAATCTTTGATGGTAACGTTCGCAAATAAGATTAATGGCTCGTATAGTGAGTTTTCACGCGATTCAAATAACTGGATCTGAGAGATGTGGTATAGGTGCCTAAATTTTCTCGCGTTTTTCTTCACTACCCTCCAAAGTTGCGGCAACTTACGAAACATCAATCCACGTAGAAAATAGTAGCTTAACAATGAGGAGCTTGCAATCTTTTATTCGGCCTTTGCTGCTGTTCAAGACAATGGCGGTAAAATTTGAAAAACATGCAGTTGGATAAAACAATAACTAGAACTTTTGGCCCAAAAAATTCATTGCTAGATTGATACGTTTTACAGGGTAGCTTTTATTGATTTAGCAGAGATTGCTGTTTGCTGTTCTTAAGTATTTTATCTATGGTTGAGTTGCACTGAAATTTGTCTATGTTGCCGATGGAACTCTCCTTGTAAGCACTCTACTTCGCAATGTTTCGCGTTCGCCTAATTCAGGTCCGTAATTCACCTGGCTCAAAGTTTGGACTTCGTATACAAACATGGCTATAACAATTTACTGGATAGTAGAGGGATGAGAGAGCGGTGCTCTGTTTTACGGAAGGAGCTGTTAGAAAGCCACTCATTCAGTTTAAGATTTCAGCATGCCATGAAAAATATCATGCGTTATTATAAAGTTAAGACTGATAGACTTTCGGTTTCTGTAATCACATAGTTTCTAGTGTTCACGTCTATCAGGCTTTACTTAAGTAGCTGCCTGGACGAAAGAGCGGAATGCACGCGAGGAATCCTTCCTCGCGAGTCCATACTGTTTTACTGTTTCGGGTCGGTAATTTATGTTAAACGAAGTTGAACTTAGGTCGCGGTTTAAGAAATCATTGGACCTCCAGATCTTCTCTCTTAGTAGGTTAGTTTAAGAAAATAAGTGCTTTTCTAGTCAACTTAAAATGCTTTATTGAAATTGTTCACGATAAATGGTGTTTAGATGAAAGTGTTGGGCAAACTGAAAATGGCTTAGAATAATAATAATTTAAATAATTGGCCCTTAGAGTTCTGAACGCTATTTAAAAGTTTATTCGAAAACTTTGAGTCGACGTATGTCAGTATCCTTGTTTGTGATGTGATTAGAGCCGTTCTGTGTTCTAAATGGCTTAAGAAACGTTTGAGCTTTGCAATGTAATCCGCTTAAGCCAGAGACCCGCTTATTCTCAACATTTTTCCAGTGAATAGTATTTTCTGCCTTATCTAGGTTTCTAATTGAAGATAGTCAAATTCTGTCAAACTTTCTCTGTCAGTTCGCTTTACTGATCTATGCAAGTTCGCTTAATGGACTGCGGCAGTATAAGACCGTATGACATTAGTATAATCAAATCGGACTCAATTCGCCAATTCGTGCCTTAGGTTTAGCTAGATTATTATCCAAAAAAAATCCATTCGAAGTCGATTGCTAGACAGAGCAACTTAACCAATGTACGGATTGAGAACGATCGAGTTCGATTAAGTTCGATTAAAATCTGTTTATCATGTTCCATTTAAAGGAGTTGTGTCACCGTTGTCTGGTTCACTTACATACACGCCCTTATTTGCTACTGAACTTGAGGAATTACCCATGAATGGTAAAGTTACAGCTTTGTGTTAAACAAATATGTCTACAAGCATTATATCAAACGTTATACAAACAACAAAACTTTGAACTTTGAAAAACTGTGAGGCAAACAAGTTTTTAAAAACACAACTGTAATCTGTGTCAATCTTCTTCAAGTTTGTCCATGCATGCCGTCTTTTGTATTTGCTATCTTATTTATCCTTCTTTTCATGTTTTGAGCAGTTCTTTTAATGTCTCACTCAGTTTGCCTAACATTAAATTTATTCAATCGTTGATTTTCAGAAGTTACTAGAGAGCGAACAGCAACTGAATTTAATTTCATGCAATTTGTATCATTGCGTTCTGTCAATCCGGAGTAGGGGAGAAGCATTTCAGTGAGACACTTTTAAACCAAAACAGAATATCGAAAACTGCCAACTCTAGTCCAAACGGAGACAGTTGCAAGTCTTGGGAGTAAAGTTATCAAATTTTCGTTTTTTTTTTTTTTTTATAAAAGGGGCTTAGCAAAGTCGTCTGGAAAAGAAGTCTATCCTGCTCTCGTAATTTGCTTTAGAAATCTTTTTGAATTCTCTCAAAAAATCCAAAAAATAAGGAAGCTTCTTATTCTATTTTTATTCAAGCCACGAGCCATCATGGCTCTTGCTTCAAGCTTAACACCTGAACATGTAACCATTTTACCTGAACGTATATTACGTTATATTTTTTCCTTTTATTTGAGTTTGCTTTTTCTTTAACCAATATGTGGCTGACTAGAATCTGTTTCAAAGTATCATCATGGGACCAGGAAAATGATTCTTTTGGTATCTCTTATCATGCCTTTGGGAAAGAACTGAAAATAAATCATGATAAAACAAAATGCAATCGGAATAAAACACGAATGAGATACACTAGAAAGGGAAGCCGCTTGTGTGCGGTTTCTTTTGCGGACAAAGGAAATTAACATTGGAACCGCTGTATACAGTTAGTATGTACTTGGCCGCTACTTGAAAGAGTTATTTGAAATTCCCGCCTTTGACTATTGGCAGCTGTACAGCGGAGTTCAGACTGAACAATGCAAACGGGAGCTGCGATTGTTTTCGTTGCCTTTGAAGCGCGTGTAGAACCGGCTGTCTGGCTGATTATCACAGTCACTGTGCTGGATAAAATTTTCCCGTTAAAAAAGAAAATAGTAATACGAGTTGATCATAAATTCTACCAGTTTTTAGGACTAAACTGACTCAAAAAATTTTAGGACACAACACTGAATTTACAGCAATAATTAGGCTAAAATCTCTGACTGACTTTCATTGCGCATTGCGGTAAACGTAAAATTGGATCTGAGTGGGCCTGATTTTGTAGGTCACGGAAAAAAGGCTTATAAAGGATTAACGTAGAGTTAAAAGAACTTGCAGTTGCAATAACATTTGTGTCAATCGGAGTCCGGCGCGTTCTCTTGAAACAGGAAAAAAGTCAGTTCTAGCAGTAAGCGAATTAAGCTCAAGGACTGGTAATCTTCAGAAAAAATACAATTTTTTTAAAATATAAAAACACGTAGTAGTAAATAATCCGGCAATATTTGATTTTTGATCGAATTTTTAGATCGTGCACGTGGGAAGGTGGGGCTCATATTAAGTATGTACTAATAGCCCAGGACAACTTCAAAATCGTTCGCTCTTCGAGCGAGCAAATACGCCGACAATAAAATCAATGATTTTGCTTTTGTTCAAGGTAAAGTAAGCGCATATTCTTTTTGGAACGGATTCGATTATCGGCAGGCTTCTAACCATTGTTCCGGTACGCGCCATTTTGCCGAGCGGGAACTGACCGCCAATTAACGAATTTCAATAGAAGAAACCTTCTGATTGGGTTTCGGTGTCGGCAAGGCTAAATCGAACGTTTTCATTGGCTGATGAATGTACGCAGTTATTCTTTTCACATGAAGCGCGTATGGATATATAAGAGGAAAATGGCTGCCGTAGATCTTTATCGAATTATTTCGAACTTCACAAACTTACGTTAGACCTTTGCCTCGAGATTCTGTAGTTTTGTCAGTTTGTAGCGCGATTATATTATCCGGTTAAATTGTCATGGCGAAAAGAAATTGTTCGAGAACGAAAAATCTGGCTTCGAGCATCATCGGATCCCAAATCTCTGGGAGATGCCTCAGAACCAACATGGTAGGTGTTGCTACGTAAGCGTTTTGGGTAATACTGATGATTTTAAGTTATGGCGTTGAAACGGTCGTAATATCTGTGCTTCTGGGTTTTCGTTTTAGCTTCCTGACGAGTTTGTCCAATCAGTCGATCGCCGTCTGGACTTCAAAGAAATACCATCGCTCCTCGCCAAACTAGAACGAAACAGCAGCCCGGAGAGATTCAACCTTACAAAGTGCTCGCGATATTTAAAGGTAAACTTTTAGTTTATTACCAGATACTATTGATCCAACTGTCATCTGACCATTACCGACCAGTCTACCATGTAAAATTCTTAAATAGGTTGTCTGTTTCACCCAAGGGCGACGTCAATTTCGGAGAAAACTCTGGAATAATTTCTAACTGTTTTAAAAGTTAAGAATTAAGAATGGCCATATTTATTCAGTATCAAAAGCATTGCATTTTCGACAATTTGGGTTTATAGATCGCTAAAAATGTTTATTTTTTCATCACAGGATCTTTCAAGTTTATTCTCCAACAACGTGCATCTGTTATTCCCGGACAACGAGTTTCCACAAATTGCTAAGGAGAGGCTTCGACTCGGTCAAGTGATAAATTTATTCGGTGGAGTTGAGGTGAGTTGGACTTTTGCATGAATTTATTCTGATCACCCCTAAAACACATGTTTTTGGAAGACAACATGGTGGACCCGTGTAGCGATTCTGATTATTGTCGATTTCACACTTCGTGTTTCCGAACGATTTCAACACCATTCAAATTTATTGTTAATGTCGGCTCATGGGTGCAAAATACGCTTTGATTTTTTGATGAAAATACTTAGTATTCCAATAAAATTAGTTTTCTGATGTCACTAGCAGTCCGTTCCGTTAAATTCTACTCGGCTCTCCTCGTTTGTCATTTAAGAAATTGACACGTTATGTACATCTGAGTTAAATTTCGCTTTCGTGTTTGCAAGGTATGGCGAATGGGTACTTTTATTTACCTTCAATCATGATCACTATTGATCTTCAAGACATTAGTTATCTTTATCTTTGTTGTACCTTAAAGTCAAACTTCCTCGTTGATTCCTGATCATATTTCTTGAGCTGACAAAATGACTTCATCTAACTTCCGGTTAGTCTTTTGGTGAATTTGATTGACATATTCTAGCTAGGGCGGTAAGTGCACCAGTAACATGCTCCTTTTTTTTTCCAGATCGTGTTACAAATTCTTTTTTATCCCACCACTTATGGTTTCAAGTGTTGCAAAATAAGACCAACAAGTAAGTGAATATATGCTTATTTTTTATGGTAGTATTTTCAGGTAACCTTGATTAATGAGCTAGTTTCATGGTATTTGTCATTTGAGTATGTAAAGCCAGCGGGATGGGTGGAAGGGGGGTGGGGCATGGCATGTTGTGGGGATCTGACATTTTGCAAAAATGTTCTGTCAAATTCCCTGCCCAAGGGCAAATCATTCAATATACCTTTTACCGATATGGGTTGTCTTTGACTTAAGTCTTACCTGTGTTCTGGTTTCTAGTAAAAGCAATAACTGAGATCTTTTATTGAAATGCAACAACAGTATCAAACCATTTTAGTCTCGTACAGCATTGAAGTCATTTTAGAACTTAAGTATTAACCTTATACTGAGCTCAATCCAAATTATAGAATATCCACTAATTACCCTGTCCCATGGATAAGGTATAAGAATGTGAGTTCAGATTCTTTTGTGAATGATACCAACTAAAATTTATTTTTTAAAGTCTTGGTTACTAACTGAGACACTTACTGGAAATAACTTCCGCATTAGTGTGCGTAAAGCAAAAACATCTTGATGTCACTACCATGCTTATATACCCTCATACAAACACGTCTCTTGGCCAATCAGAACGTGCACACTATCTTAGTTATTTTATAAATTTATGTAAATATATTGTTATTGTGTTTTACATGGATAATGAATGATTTGGATGAAATTCTCAATAGCACCTTGCATTAATTATGTTTCTATTTTATGACTCAAACTTATGTTTGCTGATATTTAGAAGGCAAAGTATTGAATAGTTTAATATTTAGGATACAGAAGATCAAAGATCTTCCTTATGACATTATGTTATATTGTACTTTGCAGGAATGCAGCAAGATCATTTGTGGACACTGTGTCTTGACTTCATTCACAGTCTTTGTCTTATGGTAAGTGCTTTTTTGGTAGGTATTTTATTTTTTCAATTTTTGTGGCTCTCATGTACTTAACTTTTGGCTTGAGGCTGATCGACGACGTTTCAATTTGGTTTTTAATAAGAAAGAAATTTTATGTCTTCAGTAATACCAGGGCTCGAAGTTATCTTTTTAGTGCACTTGCAAAGTTTTGCTAGTAAGATTTTTTCCACTAGCAAACTGGTGAGACCACAAGCAAATTATTTCCCTTTGTTTGGGAGACATTGATAATTCTAACTCGCAATCGTTTGCTAGTGGATATTTTTCTTACTCGCAGATCATCAAAATCACTCGCATTTTGCGAGTTTGCGAGCGTTAATTTCGAGCCCTGAATACTCATAGTTTTAAACATCTTTTAAGTCTTAAAATAAAGATATACCAAGATTTTTACATGGAATTTAAGGATCCTACTGTAAGGTTCTTCTTCTGTTCAACTGTATTTTGTAATGTGGGTAATTGCAAAGCGTGTAGTAAAAGTTAAACAAGATCTTGAATGCTAGTGCATGTTCTCATGATTTAGTACTTACTTGAGCAATTAATGTGTAGGTTGGTTAAATGTTATTTTGGAGGCGGGATCAAATAGTTGTTAGTTTTTAAGGTGATCTTTTTTTTTCTGTTTTTCATGTCAGGTTGATGGAGTGGCTCTTAATTTGGCCAAGAGAAATGACTTAATAGGACATTTATTCACCCTTCTAGAGCAAAAAAAGACATTTAGGTAAGTAAAAATCCTTGACTTTGCTGTGATCGTGCAAGTTGACATTTTTAGCTTAATTGTTTGAGCATTCTAAATCATTCATATTTATTTTATTTTTATTGTTAGTTTTGCTCTTGTGGTGTTGGAGGATCTCTTTAGCTCAAGGAAAGAACTCATTGATCTCGAAAAAATTGGTAAGCTTTTACAAATCTCTATAAATGCCAAGAAATAAAACAGTAACAATAAAAACAAGTAGGTCTGTGACAAACTAACAAACAACAATGAAAGATCCTTTGCATTAATGCTTTTTTGATAAGTCAATATTTTATTCAATGGTGAAAGTTGATTGGTTACCTTAGGGTACCATTACTATGAAGTAATATACAGTTATGTCTTTTTCTGATCAGTACATATTTCATGTTTCTTTTTCCTTGCAGTAAATATGAGGAAATTGATGAGCATCCTTGATCAGCAGCAGCTAGCAAATCTCTGCCGAGTGTTGTCGTTTTCTCTCTCAGACTTAGAATCTGTTGAAGAAAGGAGCACTTGTGAGTTTAATTACTGTATTAATTTTTATATATATATATTTTAATAAATTAGACGTAGAGAAAAATTTAAAAATATCTCTGTAAGCTATTCAGAAGAGTGAGCGATTGGTAATTGGATTCAGAATTGGAATCTGTGGAAGGAAGGAGCACTTGACAGTTTTATTCATGTTTAAAAAACTGTTTAAGCTTAATATTATATATATTTTTACAAAAACTGTGTTAAAGAAAATTCCAAAAATAATTTTGTAACCTTTTTAAAAGAGAGACCTAATTATGTGATTGATTTTCATGTCTTGGGATCAGTTATTACTTTATTGATAATTCATTGTAACAAAATAATTTTAAATTTTTAGTGCTTGCGCAAGATGAAGCTGACAAAAAGGGATTGTCGCAGAAGGAAGTAGCAGACAATAATCAAGGTAATCCTGAGATAGATGTTTTATCCATGCATGACTTAGGCCCTTGCTAAATGATCAAACAATTATTATTTGTGTAACATCTTGTCCAACATCTTATCAGAAAGATGAAATTTAATTTTTAATTTTTAAAATTTTTTACAAATGGCCTATTTTAAGTACCAGTCAAATGGGTCATTAAACACTTTGTTTTAACAACTGGCCTTACATTTTTTATAATAGTGGGTGATGATTTTTCCCCTTTTTTCAACAGCTACACTCATTGGTTTGAAAGAGTTTCTACCAAGAATTGTTAGACTGGCCTGTCAGCCACTTGGTGAGTTAATAAGCATTGACAGGATCACATTTGAACCCTTTAAGACCCAGTATCCAAATACAAATTCTCTAGACTGATCTCCATACAATTTTTCAACAAATTTTTTGAGAAAATTTGACAAAAGTCAAAGAATCATTTTATTAATACTCATTGTTAAACTTTTCTCTTGATGATGTATTGATATTTCCTGGACAAAATTGAGGTTGGGAACTCTTAAGGCTTAAAAGGGTAAAGGGTTTTTTAAGATGCTGGGGTGGGAATGTTACAAATTGGGACAGGAAACTACATGACTCATACTTATGGCAAAAAGGAATGTTTCAACAAGTTTCAAGGGGAAAGTTAACTGTTTTTGGAATAATTTTTGGGGGTGGAATTAGTTTTTTTATTTGCTTGGGTTAAATCAATTAATTTTTTTTTCCAGTAGAAAGAAGTTCTTCTCCTGGTAGTTTGCTACTTGGACATGCCCAAGGTGGATTTCTTGATATGGTTGATTTCCACACCTTCTTGCAAGATGTGCTAGAGACAGGAGGAATTGATATGGGTATGTACCTCTTTGAGTTCAGTTTAAGGGTTCTGCAAATGAGTGTAGTTACCTGTAGCAACGTTCAGGGATGTGGCTCAGAAAAAGCTAAGCAGGCTTTTTTTATTAGTCAAGCTGGGTTTTTATTCAGTTGCACCTTCAAAACTTTGATCATTGGGAAGTTCCAGAATATGGACGCCTCCCTTAACCCTTTATACCCTAAGATCAAAATTTGAATTCTCATTTGTTGCCCCTATTCATTTCCTACAGAAGTAGTGGGGAGAAGTTGATAAAATATCAAGCAAATTCATCTTGTGTGATCATGTCCATAATTCTCATGACCACTCTGTTTTACAAAGCATTGATATTAAAAGGAGAAATTTGATGCTGATCACACACAGAGTTGCCTCTGTCTGTTGTAGTCACCTTCTTTTCAAGGCTTTCTATAAAGAGAATATATTGAATTATTGGGGTCCCTGTTGTTCGTTAGTCATTTTCTTTTAATGTCTCCAACCCCACAGAAAACTACTTTGTATAGTTGACTATTATTAAAAGTAATATAAAACATATTGCCAATATTTTCTTTTTTCAGATCCTGAAGAGCGTGAAGCAGTGCCAATGTTGCAGTCAAGATTTAATCGCATACACGAGGTTTGTGGAAGTTATTTTATAATGGGTACTCTTTATATTATATGTATTGTAATGAAAGATATGGCTTTAAATCATTAATTTTAAGATAAAACACTAACTGTATGACCACACATTTTTATGTAATATTTTTTTCCTTTTTCAGCTTATGCACAAAGTGGAGGTGTTTTATGTTCTTTGTTTGTTCTTGACGGGAAAGCACAAGGTTATGGTAGGTTGACAAAATCATCATGACAATTTTTCTTTCTTATTAGTATACCAAATAGGAATGGATGAAAAGCTTTGAATGAAAGTTAATATGTTTGAATAGTTTTGGAACGTTTTTCCGTATAAGTGGTTTTTAACTCTTTCTTCCCTTGTATCTTTTATTTTGTAGGTCCAGAAAAAGCTCTCAGACTTAAAGTTGATTCCTGGAATGTGCATTTTGTTTGACAAAATGTCATGGCTTAAAGATACTGAAAGATTGTAAGTATGATATTCACTAAATTCTCCTTGTTACAGAAAGTTCCGTGAATATTGTAGTGGTGAAATACGTGTAGCCTTGGTTATTAATTGAATCTTTTTTGTCTTTTTACAGCAGCCCAGACATGATGGACTTAGGAGAAATGGGTGATCACGAGTGCACACCCCAAACTGCTTTGAAGATTCAGTTTCTACGTCTTGTTCACAGCTTCTGTGATCGGCATGAGTAAGTTTTCATATACTGTTTGCTTTTGAAAATTCAACAGTATGACTGTGCCACATGGAGTAGGGAATATTGTTGTTGTTATTAATATTATAATAATGGAACTACTTTATTTAATACTACAGTTCTGACAGGAATTTTCTCTTATTTCTAGGAATAAACATCTTCTACTAACTCCCAAAGAAGTTGATGAACTTCAAGAGCTGTATGGTGAGAAGAATTGTTTGTTCAATAAGCCACCAATTTTAACAAGTGCATAAAATGGCAATTAGTTCTGCAATAATTGTGTCCTAAAACTTTCATTTGGCACACATGCAGGGTTCTTAATGGAATATTGTATTCTTTTGTTTACATATTCTGCAATGTGCCTCATATGTTTTTTTTCTTTTCCTACAGTTCAAAATGACCTTGAACTTCCTGAAAGTTTGCCCAACACTAACAGGTTTGTTCTTTTTCTGTTCTTTGAATCACCATTCATCTATTTTCATAATTAAAACTGAGTGTTGCCAACCACAAGTTTTTTGTAAAGGTCAAAATATTATGTCATGTTTTCATCCTCACTTTAATTTATTTTTCTTTCAGGAAGCTCTGTTGTACAGGAGAAAAGGGACTACTGACAAAAATTTTGGAAACATTGATTGAATGCCCTGCGACTGCTCCTTTAAGGTAATTTAAGTAGTTTAGTTTATCATTTCAGCTGCAGTTTGAATTTTAAGTAATGCGAAACCAATATATATGGCAAACAAAAGTAGTTTTTCCTGTCAGTTACAACTCCAAGTTTGATCTTGTGGAAAAAAAAAATAGAACTGGGCCAAACAATCTTTCAGAATGTTATTTCTAGGTTCAAACTGATTATTTAGTTTTCATTTTATGTTCACCAGGTTTTGGCTTTCAAGGGCTATTGAAGGATTTCTTCGTGGCAGAGCATCAGTTGGAGACCAGCTTTTCCTGATCAAGAGAGGCCTGCTTGAGGTATGCCAATTTATGGGTTTTTCATACTCACCTCACACCCTTTAATAATTCAGCTAATGTTCGGGTTGTAAGGAAAAGTCCAAGTAATTCTTCAAGTATTGTTGATATAGTTCTTGTTTGGAGTGAGGAGCATTGTCAGAGTATTATTGTAAGTGCTGAGAATTAAGGATATTTAAAAAAGCTCAAGATGAATTCTGAGATTACAGTTTATGATTGATGGAGCTGAAAAAGATAGCCGTTGCAGGTTTCAATTTTGATGCACATGTTGTAGTTATTTTTTTATTTCAGATAATTTTTATTTTTCTTTTGTTTCAACTTCATTAGCATACACTAACATACCCCAAAACAAAAGAAAAACAAAAATTACCTGAGATAAAAAATTAACTACAACATACATGTTATTGAACAGCAATGGAAAAACCTTTAGTTGTGAAACAAGTGACGACACTTGAAAGAATAATTTGTTTAATGAGGCACCGTATTAAATGTCTTTTTTTTTTTGTTTTGTCTTATAGCACCTTGTTGACCACATCACAAGTGATGAACTTAAGCCAAAGGAGATTCTTCAAAGCAGTTTTGACTTGCTTGGTGAACTGATGAAATTCAATCCATTTGCTTTCAAGAGATTTGACCAAGTCATTAGCGACAAACAGGTAAGCAGCTGACCTTAGATACACACCATGCAAATAATGCAATGGTTATAAATTTTTTAGCGTATTTGGACTCGACAGTGCATAACATTTTGAACTATAGTCTGTAACTGGCCAAGAGAAACATACCAGTAATTTCTTCAGTTACCGTTTTAACAGACGAATGTGCTCATGTGGTTAGTTAGCTTTCAAATTAAACTGCAGCCACCACTGCTATTCATCTTATGTTCTTTCTGTGGCTTTCATGAACAGTCTACTCTACATGAGCAAGTGTCTCAACAAGTCCCAATTTTATCATCATCATCATCAAGTTACTCACCAAAGATCTATAACCATTAACATTTCTGTTTTTTATGGTGATTAATTTTCTGTTCTCGTTCTTTTACAGTTTGAGAAATTTGTGTCCATCCTGACATCGAATGTAGTGGATTCTAACATGTTGATTCGCTGTCTGGTGTTATCTCAGGAACACTTTATGTCTGACCGATTTTTCTCAGGTAAGATCAATACTTTTCCAGACATGAGAGATCGTTGTTTGAAAGGACCAACAAGAAGTGCAGAAGTAGTAGAAGTGCATTAATCTTTTTGATTTCTAATGACAACTGTCAACATGTATTTGAATAAGTTTTGTTTGGACCAAAGTAATATATTTTCTTCTTCTTTTTAACAGCTTTCACTGGAACTTGCAAGCTTGGCTCTCTAATTAACAACTGGGAACAGATGATTTTCTTGCTTTACAAACTGATCAACTCCATTACTGTTGGAACTCTTACTCAGGTGAGTTTAATTTATTAAACCTTTGTGTCACACGTAACAGAGAGAAATTTAAATGGCCTTGCAGTCTATTTTAAATCCTTAAATGGTGTTGAAAACATAAGGTGGCACAGAAAAGAACAAGAAATCCATATGTAAATGTTAACCCTTTAAGTCCCAATAGTGACCAACATCAATTTTCTCCTAACAATATCCATACAAGGTCAAGACAAAAGGTTATGAGAACTAATAAAATGATCAGCAAAGAGAAAATGCTTTGATCTACTCTCAAATTCTCTCAATTAATTCTTAAAGGAAATGTATGGAGATCAGGTTGGAGAATTTGTATGTGGACATTGGGGCTTAAAGGGTTAACCAGAAGGGTGTATTTTGTGAAGAGCACACCCATTATGGAATCATTCATATTGCTGGAGGAAAGAAATTTTAAAAAAATTCAAGTAGAGGTTTTCGACTCTATTCTGATCTTTTTTTAACATTCTTTTTTTCTAGGAAAATGTGAGCTGTCTGAACACCACTCTTGTTTTTCTGATGTTTGGTCACAGACATGGACGTCTCCCAGCTTATCTCACGGTGAGATATTAATGGTATTTGTTTGCAACTGTTGAATCATTTGGTTGTCATTTTTGCCTGTGTCATTTGAGAGCCAAAAAAAAAACAAACAAACAATACAAAGAAATTACCAACTTTATTTCACAGAAGTAGTGGCTCATAGATTTTGCATATAATTTCCCTTGCTGTCACACTAACTCAAACTTAAGTGTAACCTATTTTTTATAATATATGAGTATCCCATTAATTTTCTTATGTTTTTTTTATCTTCTGTTATGTTACTGTAGGCTTTTGTCAGGGAAGAGAACATTCAGAATAATCCAGGCTTCATCTTGACAAATTTGAGGTGAGCTGAAATTGCTGTCCGCAATAACTATTCATTACCTAATCTTTGTTCAAATCTCATGAATTAATTTATTATCGATACTCCATCACCCAATCTCCTTCATAGGACTAATTTTGTTAATAGAACCAATTGCATTTATTAATACAGACAAAACAATAATTTTTTGTACTTGTAGAGTCAAATGCTCAGTGTTGCTTAATTTAAAATAGCATGTTTTTGTTTCTCTTTGCAATTTAGACTTTTATTAATAGAAGCAATTGCATTGATTAATACAGACAAAACAAGAAAGAATTTTTTGTAGTTGTAGAGTCGAATGCTCAGCATTGCTTAATTTAAGATAGAATGTTTTTGTTTCTCTTTGCAATTTAGACTTTTATTAATAGAAGCAATTGCATTGATTAATACAGACAAAACAATAAGAATTTTTTGTAGTTGTAGAGTCGAATGCTCAGCGTTGCTTAATTTAAAACAAAATGCTATTGTTTCTCATCGCAATTTAGACTTCTGTTAGAGTTCTGGAAGACTCATTATTTGAGAAGAGGAAAGGATTGCTCTGCTCTTGAACAGGTATGGAAAGTTAAAACCCTTTAGTTTACTGTATCTTATCGGTATTGCATTTAGAAGAGCATACATGTAAGCAAACTTGCGATGCAAGTTCTCCTCCTGTATCTCAATATTATATAAAAATTGATCTGCCCAATTTTTGTGACGATAGATGCAAAAAAGGGGCTTTTCTTTCAACAGAATTAAACTCTTTAGAGGCAAAACTTGTAGGAATGTGTGGTTGGGGTAGAAAGGAAAAATGGGATTTTCTCTCCTGGATTCCAGTGCAACTTGCACATAATAGTCAAAATCAGATTTAGCCACAATTATTGCAATAAATAATAAGTTTTCCCTCTAAAAATGTTAAATGTATTTATTTTTCCTCTTCTTCAGAGTTCCTGCATCAGCTTTGACAACTGGAAACAAGTTGTTGACATTCTGCTGTCGGATTCTACATCAAACACTTCAGTTCTTCATTATCTGCCATCATCTTGCACAAGAGACAATTAAACAGACAGCTGTCAATCAACAGACTAGATATCCAATATGCGGAGAAGTGTCAAGCTGGTCTTGATCAAATTCAATATATCAAGTGATTACTCAGTTTAACCAAACATGTAGAACACATGGTAACATATCTGAACAGTATTGGCCAATATGGACCTACCGGGGTGCTTGCATTGTAAACACCTTGCAAAAACACAAAAATTTATAAATCCTACTGATAAAATATTATACATTGTTCCAATAGTTAAGCATAATATAATACAACAGTTACAACCCTAAATTAAATTATTGTGGGTATTAGGAAAAACAGGATATTCTTTTCAATAATTAGAAAGAAAGAAAAAAACAGTTTTTAAAGAGAATTTAGTCTTCAATGTTTTATGAAAATTTCTCAGGGTGTTTGTGAAAAAAAAAGGATTGAAGTCAGGAAACGGTTTAGTGTACAGTAATAATATTTTTAAGGTCTTTTCATCACGTGTAGTGTGATTTTGTTTGTAGGGGCAGTTATGCAATTTACCAGCTCTGCTTTTAATGAATTTTAGGTCTAAGAATAAGCAAAATCATATAGCTATTCATTCGGTGATTGTATAGTGTTATCAGCATTTTTTATATGTTTTCGTGTGCTAGGTAAAAGTGTTAGGCATATTAGGGTATTGTGTTGTTCCAGAAAATATCCATCCCTTGCCCCCACCCCTCTGGTAATTCCAGTTTGGCTTCAGACTTTCCTTTAAAAAAATTGGTCTCTAAGACCCCCTCCCCTTTTGACCGTCCATGGGGTGGGTACAGATATTTTGTGGAACAACATTGTGACTTACGGTATTGATCATCTTGGTAGTCCACAGAACGTCCGTTCGTTTCGCTATGTGTGGATGCTTACTCGCTATTAGTTGTTTCGCTACAACTTTAGGCCTGTATATTATAGTGTTCGTGTAGAGAGGAATTGAAGCTAAAATTTTGTTGTGTATGTTTAACTTCAAAATTATGTAGCGAAATGACTGTAGCGAAACGACTGGACCATCTGCAAAAGCGGCTACAAGTTAGGAGACAATTGTTAAGTATTTATTGCCCATATAAACTGCAATGTATTATAGCGATAATCTTAGACTTGTAAAATATTAAATTATTTTTTAAAATTATTTTTTGTATGGACATGTATATTATGCACGCGCCATTTTAATAAATAGATAATTCATGACGTATCTGGTTGAGATCTTCTTCTTGTTGTTTCATTAGAATGTGATTCATTTTGGATCATGTTTAAAGTGTTTGACTGCCAAAACGGCGAAGAGAAAAAAATTGCAAAAATTACCCCTTATATCTGACCGGTTTTACCACAACGTGTCATTTGACAGGAATAGGCAAAGCGCGATTTCTTTAATTGTCGCACTTTTAGTTTAGGTTACTTAAGAGATATCCTTGAACAACATATCTGCTGAAGATGGGCTGCACTGCCCTTTGCAGATCAGACATTTAGATTTACAACAAAAAATGGATGAGCAACAAGACCATTTTTGCACATTCAGTTGGATATATATTTGTAATATGAGCCGATGTCATTTTGGCCATTGTAAAGGGGTAGTTCCAGTAAACTTTCAGTTTTATTGTACTCAATCAAAAATATGATAATCAGCGGTGATAAACATTGTGAACTTCCGCATTTTTATATAAACTTGAAGTTTCGTATGTTAGTCAACATACATTTTCAAAAGTGACCTAAAGTGACCGTTACAGTTTATGACGAGACTATACAAAATTGACAAGGGGTTTGGAAATCAGGAAATGAATTCAAAATTCTTAACAGTAAAATTATATACGGCGGCAGCAGCTAATGGCATCAGCTTTTCGCCGCTGATATTATCGCACTCGCTTTAGAACCTCCCCCTCCTGATAATCTTTGAACAGCCCCTGGTACATGATCTGCAAACAAATTTGGTTTTAAGGGTTGTCTTGTTTTAGTTTGGTGTTCTTTCCTCCCAATTTTCCTGTTCAATGTTACAAATTTTGATCACTTGAAACATTCAAGTGAGAATTTCTGAAAAACAAAATAAGCGCCCCGCTTTCGCACTGTCGTCCCGTAAGAATTTTAAACAATTATTGGGTGAGGTCTTTTGCGATATCCGGAATAATGAAGGTCGGGGTACGTGTTATCAGCCGAGACGAAGGCTGAGGCTGATAACACTTACCGAGACCCCGAGGCCGAGACTTTTATTATTCCGGATCAGTCACAAAAACCGAATCTAATAATTGTTTAATTATACATTGTTTTAAAGAAAATAACGACAAACACATCATCGCACGGAGCACAGTTTGACATTGCTGTTAAAAATCATACATTCCGTGCGCAACCTACAGATTAGCCAGTTATTCGCTATAACTTATCTGTAGGTTGCGTAACTGTCTCCTTTGGCCAATGAGAAGACAGATAAGCACAATGTATAATAACGCTCTCACTGGTTGTCTTCACACCTGCACCAAACAGAAAATGCTGTCACTAAAACAGTCCGTTTTTTAATTATATTGAAGTACAGGTTTCAAGCTAAAGTCGTGTTTTTTTTTCCATCTCGACAAACGAACCGCCAGCTACACAGCGCGCAGGTTTGTTGGCTTTTAAAATTTTGTATTCTTCATCGACTAAAAAGATTGTGGATTATAGTTCATTTAAAGAACGTGCCGAGACGATAAACTGACCCTATTGCTAAACCAGAAAAAAGTGGAAAATCTTTTTAAACAGTCGCTAAAAAAACGGAAGTACACATTTTAATTCAAAGAAGACAAAGTTACAACTCAAGGCTGTAGATGGTTTCATTTACAGCATCCACGCATAACTGACCCATTTGCTCGCTGGTATTTTTTACTGTTGTGGATCTTAAAAACAATGCGGTGCCTCATACTAACAATACGCGACCTACATTCTACATTGATTAGAAAGATCCCTAAAAGATAATTTAACTTTAGCTGTTAGGAAAATTTTCATTCCTCAGCATATGAAATTGTGTTTTTCGGTGACATTTTCCAGACCTTTTCACAAGTGGCAAAGAAAACTAAGACCTGTAATCCTATTAAAATCTCCCAAATTTCCATATAAATGAAAAAAAAATTCCGTAGAGTGCAAGCCAATCGGAAACGCTTTTCTAATAACGAGGTTGCTCAGCGCGCCACGTTCAAATTTAAAATTCTGTGGCGAAGGAAGACGCGAGGGTGCATTTTGTTTCTCGGAACAATTTTGGGAAAAAAGGGGAGATTGAGACCCACAAACACTTTATCTTGCCATCTTTGAAAACTTTACTACAAAGTGAGTGAAGAAGTCGTTCGACGTGACGTGAACCAAATAATTGGTAGGTATAGGTTGCAATTGAAGTAAGCTTAAGTTCAGGAGTTAGACTAGTTGCAATTCGTATTCTGACTGAAAGTGTTTGGAAAAATGGGTTAGTCTGTGGTTTAATTTTCATGTCTTGATGTTGACAGTGATAATTACTGCGAATTAAATCTTTTGTCATTACAGAAGTTACTAGTGGAAGTCACAAACCAAGCTATCAAAATCAAGATGCACACGATGAATAAAATTATGCACCTGGACGGCAACTCAAACTTTGAAAGGTACAGCGATGCCACCTTCTCTTCTTTGAAATAAGCTTATGTCTTTATTTTAATTTAGCTGTTATTTTATTGAAATGTGGTAGAAAACTATTCTTATTACAATGAATTTTGAAAATATTGAATTTTGGCCTTTACATTTGTATGAGTGTGGTGATTATAAGAGAGGAGAAATCGTTCCGTCACGTTGCCATGGTGGCAAAATTTCTGGATGACAACAAATCAAAACGTCACTCAAAAACTGGATTCGAACTGTTTCAAACTTCATCGATCTTATTTAATTTCATTTAATTTGTCAAATGTTGGCGAAATTTTCTGGGTTGAATCCGAAAGGAAAAAAAAGGGAAAAGAAAATTTTTGCGTTGTACACACCTGCTCTATAGAGCGGGCGAGTGAAATTAGGAAGTTTTCATGTCGCAGTCGTGCAACAAGGGCTAAGAAATGTACAAAAATGCGTGATGCACGTGCAAAGTTGTTCTTTTACAAAACAAAACCTATTGCTTTTTTTGCTGTTGCGAAAACTCCGTTTGGTTGTGATCCAGAAATTTTTCTTACCATAGTAACGTGACGTCACATTTCTCCTCTCTTTTCCTCTCAAAACCAAATAGCAATAAAACATTACAGTAATGAGTACGTAAACGAAAGCATGCGTAGTGCATGTATACCGAGACAGTCGAGAACATTACACACTTAATGTCCAATCCCGAGGGAAACAGTTTTGTTTTCCCGAGAGTCCCGATGTTTTCCGAGACGCGAAGTTATGTTTGGGCGCGTGAGATTGAAACCTAATTTGGACGCGAAAGACAGGCTTGGGGGAATAAAATGAAAAAGCAAAACGACCTGGCTTAGTTTTCCTCGCGTTGCAAGATGAACGAGTTTAAAAGTAAGAGTGTGCCGTGGCTGAAAGAGTATCTAACAAATAAAGGTATTCAGGCATCAGACCAGGGGCAACATACATTTTTAGTGGGAACTGAGTAATACATGGCCGAGAACATGAAATCTTTCAAAAGTCCGCACGGGCACAAACTATTCTCAGATGGTCATGTTCAAGATTGCGATGATGTCCTGTGTTAATTATGAGGGATATACTTTATTTCGGTTCAAAATGCAACCGACAGAAAGATCCAAAATAGAAGACAACATAAGCGTATAGCTGTCGAATTTGCCTGCTGGAATAGAATGCTCCATTTGCACGATGACGTCTTTTTACTACTAAGATCAGAATTCATTTCATTTTTCCTTTCATATTTAAATTTGTAATCCCAGTAAGGTGTAAATAACAAAAGCCTTAGAATTTGCTCAAGAATACAATACCTGAAGGATTATGGTCTTAGTTGTAAAATGACGCCATCGTCCAAATGGCGTATTCTGCTGGAATTTTTTATTGTTTTTAAGCCTGAAAACAATAAAAAATTCCAGCAGGCAAATGCGACAGCTATACGCGTATGTTGCAAATGAATCCACCCAAAATATTTTACTTATGACTTCTGTCGCCCATGGTAAGAGAACTTAGGAAATGGTAAGTTGAAGGACTGTAAACTAGCGAAAGGGATGTAATCAGAGATATAAACAAACTAAAGCAAGCATTTTCCAAAGCATCCTGCAACTTTTAATATGGTCATTTACTGCCATTACAATTATCGATCTCCCAGTAACTCGCAGACCAATACACTGGATTAGAAAGAATAGGCAATAACGGATGTTTTGTCTCGGTATCTAGAACTGAGCCTTAGGAACTTCTTCAATGAAGATCCGGGACACAGACTGCCAGCCCGTGTAGGCGTCACCACGATTTCTATGTTGGCAATTACCAACCCAGAATCCCACGCGCACCTTTCCTTTGTGAATGTTGTTACAGTGCCCCTCAATATGGCGGACGCGGTGAAGATCTTGTGTATTGCCCTGCCACATGTACACAATACCGTCAATAGGTAGGGGAGCTGAACATTCTGCGCCGTTGAAAGTGAAGTACCAGCGTTTGCAACAGTCTGTACACCTGTATATTCTTAGAGCACCAGTCCAGGCCACACGAAGAGCTGTGTCAGAAAAGTTCTTGGTGAAGACACAGTCCTAAATTTGTGGAAAATAAACGTAGAAAAGCAAATCATTTGGCTATGATAGCAAAAAAAAAAAAAAGACTATTCAGCCACTTAGAATTAAACAAAACTTTCTAAGTCTAAGTTTTACCTTTATTAAACCATTGTCTTTGGCATCGTTTAAATTATTCCAAGCACACTCTTTCCAGTTTTTGAAAGGCATCAGACCTGGGTTCCCAGGATGTCCACTTTGTCCACGCTCTCCTTTTGGACCTGGTGGGCCCTTTACACCAGGCTCTCCTTTAGCACCATCTTTCCCATTTACACCAGCAGGTCCCTGGGGCCCAGCCTTTCCCGGGCTTCCCGGGTCACCTTTCGCTCCTTCTCGGCCATCACGTCCGTCACGGCCTGGTAACCCGTGCATGCCTGGAATACCACCACACCAGGATGGAGGAGATTGCTAGAGAGATAAACAAAAAGTTTCTTTAAAAAGTGTTATTCTGCGCTGAGCAAAATAACTCCCTCAGTGATTTCGTCTCATCGGCGATGCTTAGCCACCTCTAGACAAAAAAAGATAAATAAAAATAAAACAAAACAAAATAAAAGAAAGAAAATTCTTGTGCCTTTATGACACACTTTAAACAATTTAACTCCCTTCCTTTCTCCCACAAGCCTTTCGGAAAATAAACCCCTGAAAAATTCCGACGAATATTTTTATAATGTCTGCAAATATTCTTAAAATATTCTTTCCCCTTCGGCTCCCTTTTCCCAACTCTATTTGGCCCCTTGTGTTATAAGTGTTGTGGAGAAAACTTACATTAACGCATCGTTAGATATATGGTCAAGACATACAATTTGATCGAGACACGAAGTTAGTTGACGTCATGATTTAGGAAGTTCCCTAAAACATCTTTCTAAATTATTTGTGCCGATAAAGAGCGAGAATTTGTCAAAGCTATGGAAACTATTCTTTTTTTTGAAAGGAATCTATCCCATATTCGGGTTTAGTATTAGTTGACGTCATTTATTATGAATTGCTGTTTTTCTAAATCATCGGAATGGACATTGAAATGGTCTCTGAGCTTTGCAACCTTATCACGATTTTCATGATTATTGAAAGGCGCGATCAATTATTTAGACATTCCTTCACGTCGAGCGAGACTAGATAAATACTCACAGAAAAGTACTCTTGATCATTTATTGGACTACGCAAAATGCAAGGTTCTGTTCTTGAAGTTTTTTGCTATCATTTGTTCCAGTTATGTCAAGGACGATCCCGCGCAGAAGGTTAATTTACTCACCATATTGCTCGAAGTTTGTTTGGTTTTGTTGCCTGCCACGGCTGTCAAGGCCAAGAATGACGGAACAGCAAATAAACACAACAGAGCCAGAGAAACTTTACACGCTGTACTCATCGTGTCGGTTTTTTAAGGGTTTTTCTGAAGACGAAGTTGGAAAATAAAGTCAGAAATTAAGTCACTTAAATCGCCAAACAAATCCTTCCAGTTTACTTAAAGTGTTGTGTTCAAAGTTTCCCCGAAGAAAACCCTCATAAAACTGACTGTTGCTGAATCCTGAACCTTCATTACAACTCGCAGTTTTCAATTTATCGTAAACTTACTCAGGGGCACCAAACGACGGTTTCCTCCTAAATAAATTGAAAACACCTTTTAGGCTATCCAAAGTATTTTTAGATCTCTAGAAATGCAGTTCCAACCGGAGCTATAAAATGTATCTGTTCAGCCATCCTAGAGGAACTTGAGCCTTTACGAAATTACAAGGGCTTTAGTTTTATTTTACCGAAAATTTTACATGTAATTTAACGTATAACGATAGTGAGAATTTTACTAATTCCTTTCCGTGTTCAGCACATTTTTGAATCCGAAAATTTTAGGTTTCCTTTTTTCTACGAAAAATAGCCCAACCTGAGGATTGAAATGTGAAAAATTAAACTTTAGAAAATCGTAAAAGATTTATCAGATAAGCTTCGAAAATTGTACATGAATGGTACAGTCATATAGAAATTTTTATTTTTAGTCGTCCTAAAGTAATAGAAAATTATAGGCGATATTTGCTTCTCCGAACAGATATTTTACAGAAAACAGTCGCCTTCTTACTCAGTCGCACATATTTCTGTGCCCCTCGTCGCTTTTAAGAAAAAGCACCCATGGATGTCCATATTTTCAAACCAGTTCACTATGTTCGTGAAACAGATTTTGAACGATTGATACTTAAAGACTTCGATCAACTTCAAAAATGGCAACTGTTCTTACTTTTTAAGCTACAGTCCAGTTCGTGAATTTATTGCGAGTAAAGTGAGATTATCCAGTCTGTTTGGGTACTCGCATTGCTCGAAAAGTCTCAAAACAATTGCCGAACACTATGTGTCGTTAGAAAGCGCAATTTTCGATAGCAAGCGAAAACTAAACCTGACTCATAGGACTTGAAAAAAGCGGGAAAAGTCGTTACCGGTGGACTCTTTTCTGCACGAGTTGCTCTCCGTCATAGGCCACGTTAGTTTTCCAACAGCTTTTTCTTCCTTTCTGTTGATTTTTTGTTCGTGTTTTGGCACGTTTTTGTTTACTCAGTATGAATTGATTATAACCAGTTGGACTGATTGATAATGAACATTAAATATTGACTGAAAATTTCTTTCATCCAAAAACTATCTAGTGCTGTTAGGATTTTTCACTTCCTGTATTTAGTTACTTTTTGTTCCGAGTTCAGCAAGAAGTTAGATTAAATCATACGGCGACTACGATCTTGCAGCATTGGTGAGGCGTGACATGCATATTGCGAACTTAACATTGAATTACCAATTTTTTTTGTAATGAATTCACTGCTTAACAAAAACAACTCCATACCTATGAGAACATGAATTACATAGGTAAAAATTTTATTAGGTATTTTTAACTATGCTAAAAGGCCTTACTGACTGACAGCCACTTCTAAAGTTTTCGTCTCTAATCACAAATGTTAGTTTATTGAAATTGATAACATTGTTAGAACATCCACAACACGAGGGGAAGTGGACAGAACTTAATGCTTCCTAAAGTGTGAAAAGGTGAAAGGTGTGTGTCTCTGAACAGGATATTATTTTCAAGGCCTTGAGCTCTTAAACATGCAGGATATACAATTTCAATTTCTATGATATACGTCTTGAACAGGGTGTCTTATTGGACCGGGAATGGTAAGGTTGGCGGTGAGTGGTCTACATTTGTGGTACCGACAATTATACTTTTTCGAAATAAACCTCTTTTATGTTTGCTTAAGAAAGGACATACGTAAAGTCAGTTGTCTTTAGCATAATTACAAAATAAGTTGTATATTTATTTAAGGTTATGTTTGACTTTTCACCTCTCATGACTTAAACTGTCTCGCTCGATTAGCTCACTTGTTTGCTCGACATGTTCTCGTTTCATTTCCTTGTTTAGTGGGGCTATTGTCTTCCATTTGATATCATGCATGGCTGACCGGTACAAGTGTCATTTTTTACATCGCGAACTTCTCTATTGACTTTTTCAGTATATAGAACCCTTGCATAAACTCGAAAACATTCCTTTGTAATAATAAACCGCGAGACTGAAATTTGGAAAAGGGAAGAGCTTTACAGGCATTTCTAATACAATACAGTGCTTCAAAACAAATATTTTTCTGCAGCAAAGTTTGCGATGGAAAGACTTGCTAAAAGCGCTCCATTCTTACCGCAGTCTACAATGTGAAACCTTATAACTAGCTATTTTCGTAAAATGAAATTATAACAACTTCTACTCGTAAATTTGCTTCGGAATCCGCTATAATGTTAGAAGAAGCTAAAATTCGAGTGTGCGTTCGAGAAGTAGTCAAAGTTTTTGGTTTGTGACAAAAAAAACTACTGGGACAAGAAACTGAGCAATAAGCGCCTGTATAGCACTTAACTGTTTTGGCTATAAATGCATACATATTCTTAAAAGCATTTAAATGTTTTATTTTAGGTTTGTAAGTATTTTCGTTTTATTCATTCTTTTTTCAGTCAGTCTTGCTGACTGTATCCTTCCAGACGATCGAAGTTGAATTTGGATTATACTATTGCTTTGCTTGTTAATTATACTTTTGTTTTGCCGATAAAATAGAAAGAAAGTGGTAAATTCAGTTTATTGTAAAATTATGTGTATCGAGTATCCGGATTATATATGCCAAATAGCCATCAAGATAAGATAAGATCAGATAAAACCTAGGCTACAGTCTAATGAGAAACTGTGAATCTGTAATAACTGAAGTAGTTATCGAATTGCATATTAGTTAAAACCATGACCATAACTACGGTTTTAGGAAATACGCTGACCTCACAGCGCAATTCATCACTCGCCATTACAGCTGTATACGGCAGTCGATCCTAAGACTTGGCTAAAACTAGGAGCTGTAGATTTTCTTTCGAGGCTTTACTCACCCTATTAATTTGGTTCATTCTCCACGCTTTTCTGGAACTGAACAAGTGTTTTTTTTTTTTTTTTTTTTTTTTAAATTTTTTTTTTGGG